TGTAGGTGACCAAATACTTATTTTCCACCATAATTTGCAAATAAATTCTTTCCAGATCAGCCAATGTGATTGTCTGGATTTTTTTTTTTCTCATTTTGTCTCTCATAGTTGAGGTCTACCTATGATGCCAATTACAGGCCTCTCTCATCTTTTTAAGTGGGAGAACTTGCACAGTTGGTGGCTGACTAAATACTTTTTTGCCCCACGGTACATGTACAGATACACACATGTACATACACACAGACACATGTACAATTGTATATGCATACACAGACACACACGTACACACACACATCCCCCCCCTCATAAAAAGTTGCAGTACTTCGTTGTTCACTCACAGATCCGGGTACTGCACTCTAGGGGGAGGCAGAGAGCACAGCACACACTCCTTGCTTTGCTTTCAATGCGCTCAGCTATTGAGCAGTCTGACGGCTCCCGGTGCCAATGACAGATCCGGCCTGAGCTCCGAGTGAAATTGGAACAATTCTGATTAAATTGTGTTTTCTGATTTCGATCATTTTTTTATCAATAACCTATATTGGAATTGTCTATTTACAGCCCAGTTTCCATTGAATGCATGTGGTTGATCAACACTATGGGTAGTAGATTGCGTGTTTTATGCATCTACTTTTGATTGTATGTTTGTATGTTAACTCTATCGAAAGTGGTTGAAATTGGCCCATGAATGGCTAGCGACAGCCTAGCGCTACGGGGCGTTTTCTAATTTTACCAACTAAAAAATAGTTCTTTTATGTCACTTCTTGTTATGGGATTGCAGTTGCACAGCTCCAAACCGTCCCGTTTGCAGGGGATGTCTTTTCTCCTGGAACCAAATTCCTCTGTTTCTCTCTCCTCCTCTATTTGGTCTGATGGCTAGAGCAAAATGTATTGTTCACCTACCAAAATGGTTATGCTGCACTAAACCTTTCATACAGCCATCTTCATTATTTCATTTATTATTTTTAATTATTCTAGGGGTAAAAAAAAAAGGAAAAAGTGGGTTTGCATCTGTGTGGAAGATCAAGGCAGTTTGCATAGCTGGATTCTAGAGCAAGCACCTGCGTTAGTACATGCACATAGTCCTGCTCACAGACCTGAGCATGATCATGCATCTGTGTGTAGGTGTGTCCTTGTCTTGTGCAATGCTCATTGTGAAGAATGGCATTCAGCAGTCTATTTAAATAGGAATTCCAGGTATGGTACATTTTCACATAGTTACATACCTGGCTGATGCCCCTGGAGGCTGAAAATCATGAGACCTGGAAGCAAATGGAAATCATCAGAGTAGCAGTGTCTACTTCAATGATTTTTAGCTTCCAAGGGTATCGGCCAGGTATTTTATATGCATAGGTACACTGGTCCAAGCTGAACCAATGTAACAATGTAAAATATGCCATACCTGGATTTCCTGGTAAATATACCATACCTGGAATAACAAGAATTCTTCCTTAAAGCTGAGACCTGAAATCTTTAGCTATACTCTGTGACCTGCGATTCTAAATCTGATCAGATTTTCATTTACTGACCTTTTTTTTCTCTGACTCTTCTGTGGTTCTGCCCTGTCTGTTGATCTGCTCCTTTAATGACTCCAACTATAATTTCTACCTGCCAGTCTGGTACCCCACTACCTGCAAGTTACTGAACCAGCTTGCCCCAACTCCATCTCTGCCTGCCATATTGGTGCCATCCTGTCCAACTGTTGCTGACTCTGACTTGTTCCTGTTCTCTTCTTCCCAGTGACCCATATATGTTGACTGTCACCTCCAGACACATGACAACAGCATTTACAGGTTTCATTGACATCAGTGGTATTATTATCCACCACTTGTGCAACTCCTTTATCCTGCCACGTTCTATCCCACTACCCAGGGGTGTTTGAACTAGAGCAGTAAGAGAGGCCCCCCCTCATCATCATTTGAGGCCTCCATCAAGGTACCAGTGTCCCTTGCTGCATTATTTATGCTAAAAGGTCTCCCTCTGTCTCATCTGTTTTACCACTCCCCAACTGCCCACCTGTACAAGGACATGCAGCCGCTCAGATCTGTATACATTCTGTGGCCATGGCAAAAATTAAACCCTTGATCTCATTTGATGGGTAGTACAATCAGCAAACACAACACATTCAAGTTAATAGGGCCACAGCACAACTGCCCTGCCACACAATAGTGTGGCCTTTTGAGGGTTAAAACAGGTAGTAATAAGGCAACATGCCTATCAATTGCACCCTGAAAAATGATCCACTATAGATAGCTTTTCAGAGGGGTGGTAAGGGCTGCTGCACCGGAGACTGGTTTCCCTTGGAGCAGCGATTTTCAACTAGGGTTCTTCCAGAGCTTGCTTGGGATTCCTTGAACTTTGGCTGACTGACCTCCCATTTGATGGGGTCTGTATAGTTATGGATCCGTTCCACTTGAAAGAGCCAGCTGCATGACACCATGATCTTTTTCTCTGTTTGTAATTCTGTTTGTAAGGGTGGCGTTCTAACTAGCACCTTAAGATAGGCATTCTTCCCATTGACCACCAATGAATTGGTTTTAGCAGGGGTTTCCTAAAACCTGAAAATTATTTCAAGAATTCCTCTGGGGTAAAAATGTTGAGAAAGGCTACCTTAGAGATTTGAAATATAGTGTCACCCAAATGGACAGTGCTCATCTCCCGGAGTAGCTGAATTGCATATTCTAGAGTCCTGGTCATAATGGACCACAAGAATTCTTTGGGCAGAAAGACACCAAGGTAGGAGTAGAAGACGTTTATTCAATATCGCTCTTTCTCTTTTCAAAAAGTTGGAAGTTATGTGATTGTTAGGACATTAGACTCATGAAAGCAATCTTACATGAATTGGGAAAATCACCCAAGAACCTTCTAAATTTGTTATTTTTGAGAGAATAATTTCCTACTTCAGTTCATGTGTATTGAGAAGAGGGTAGATCAAGTGGTAATGATGTGTAGTGACACAACTGTAGTAGCTGCTAGTAGTTTTCCCAGGTCTTTCCCCAAATCTTCACCCGTAGACAAGCACACAGTATTTCTGATAGCCAGGTGCACGCTCATTTTCACTGATGGTCACCAATGACCATTCTAGGGGATGTTTGTTTTGCTGTTTTATTGGAGAACTTGGATAGGGATGGGGAATTTAGTAGGATACTCCAAGAAAAGAACTAATTACAACAAGGACACTATCTGACTTCTGGTTGAGCTTTAAGTGAAATCCTTTTGCAGTAACAGTAACTTCAGATTAGAGCAAAGTACCTTGTAGCAAAGAGTAAATGGAGAGAGCTCTTCAGAACACTAGCCAGTGTTCCCTTGTCTGGACCCTAGCTGACTCTATAGCACCATGAGGGGAGTTAAAAGTCCACAGATCCTTTAGGTTGTTTGTACTCACAAAATGTCCAAGGAGGGCTGGTTGCCTCCTTCCAACTTCCAAGCAACATTCTATACCACTGATACTAAACCAAATCTTCAATAGACAGTTTCCTCAGCCAGCTCTCTGTAGAACCAGGGTCACTCTCTCTGACTTCAGGCCCTCAGGTCGCCCACCTGAGGCCGCATGGCAGCAGATGCCAGGGGAGTCCAGCCTGCCTCGACCCTGGCAAGGTGCAATCCTCTCCTCGAAACACGCTAACCTCGCAGAATATAAATACCATTCCCCAGCATGCAATGCGGCCACCCTCCCTTGTAATTGGTCAGAGCTGTATCCATATTCATGCTGTTCATTTGCCTAGTTCCCACCTATGTTCTGGAAGGCTCCCATGGCTTCCAGAAGGCATGAGGAGCTCAAGGCAAACTCAAACAGCACCAGAGCATCATGAGCAGTCCTGACTAATAGATTGCAGCACTCTGTTAAGCAGAATGCCAAGGATAGATTTACCTATGAGTTTCTCTGTTAGGCAGAAAACCAAACTACACCAATCTAACTATGCTGTGCTACTAAGGGTCAGGTGACAGCTAGGCAATAAAACTGACAGAGCAGCATTGTGTTTAAAGCGGAGTTCCATTCACGCTGTCAAAAAATAAAAGTCAGCAGCTACAAAAACTGTAGCTGCTGACTTTTAAAAAACAGCCACTTACCTGTCCCTCGGTCCTGTGGTGTGTCCCCTGCAGCCCGTTTCACCATCAGTCCTGAATTCCAGGAGGCCAGCATCTTCAGTGTGGGCACCCGGCTGTGACAGCTTGCCGCTTCACAGCTGGGTACCAATTGCACATGCGCGAGTAGCGCTGCACTTCATGAATGGTCCTGTAGCCTTCTGGGACCTGTCACATGTTCCAAAAGACTACAGGGTGGGAGGGAGGGAGGACACCTTCCACTTCCAATTGCCTAGGCGATCGAACCAGAAGTGGGAGCGGGTACCTGTCAAATTCGGGTATCCGCTCCCCCCCCCCGCCCGCCAATCCTTAATGGGAAGCGGGGAAGCAGTCCTTGAAGTGGAACTTCCCCTTTTGGGTGGAGCTCCGCTGTAATTCCAAAACTGAATGAAACAAGACTTACCTGAATAGTTCTGTAGAACTGAAATACAATCACATGAACTGAAATTACAATATGCTTCTATATATGTCTCTTACAAACGCTTAAAATGAACACATTTCTTGCAAATCACATTGAATACATTTAAATAACGATCTAGGTATGTATGTGACTTTGACAAACACAATGAAAGAACTTCCAGGCATATGCATATCAAAGGGAGGAAGGAAGCCTTCACTGGTATTCTGCTAGAAGCTAAATGGGAACTGAACTGATGTGTGAGTGAAACTAAGCCTCCTGTTTCCTGCTTCAGGATTTCAATAGACAGCAATTTCAATGAACACACAATAAATGGCTCCCTACTCAACACAATGATGTGAATACAGAACACCAACTATGTACATCCTAGCACCTATCTAGGAGGGTGCTACAGGTGTTTGCTACACTATTAAATTGTGACATTGTGCACTCGTGGGAGAATGATTGCTCAGTCATGCTACTGAAAATAACATAAAAGCAGATCCAATTTGTGACGGACCTCCTGGCATCCCGCTTGAGTACCTCCCAGGGGCGGACTGACCATATGGAAACTCGGGCACTGCCCGAGGGCCTGGGGTCAGTAGGGGGCCCCATGAGATGCCCCTGGTACCTTTTTCATAGGCTTTTTTGAGTTTAGGCAAGGACACAGGGGCCCCATGATCCCCTATTGCCCGGGGGCCCCATGATTTGTCAGTCCGCCCCTGGTACCTCCATCAGAGAACTGCTTCCTTGCTGCTGGGACACAGGTCCAATGCATTATAGTTGGGCATTGTACCCAAGGACTAGACAACACTAGCTTAGGTGCAACTGAACAGAAATACAGGTTTTTATACACTTCAAAAATAGGGGCAGCCCCCTCATGAACAATAACAACAAATATTACACATAGAGATAAACATCCCACAATGATTAGATAATGAGGTAAAGCTGACACCAGATTAATCCCATCATGTAGGAACCTCCAGGAGGACTAGCCAACAGACAGAAACAATCGGTGACTCAATTAACTCAATTAACAATGGGAGAAAGGCACATTAAACACATCACACCTTAATAAACAGATTACAGTAAGAGACTTCAGCATCAGATTGTTTTGAGCTGATTACATTAACATCTGCTTAGAGTCTCTGAGTCTTGGGGGGTGGAGTTGAAGCAGTCAATGCAGGTTCGGGCACAGAGACCCCAAATTTGTATCCTGCTCCTTCAGTTCTTAAAGTCTGTGAGTTTCGGGGAGACATGGACTTGAATCCGAAGTAAAACTACTCCAAAAGGTCCCCCAGGCACACACCTCTCAAGGAATAGAGATTCCTCAGATGCCAGGGCTCATGGTCAGTAGGCAAGAGTCTAGCCTACAGTCCCTTCCAAAAGACCCTGTCCCATTTGGGTCTGTCACACCATTATGAAAGTAAAGTGATACAAAGAGATCAGTTTCATGAGGTTTTATTAGGGTAGCTGCTAAAAGCTGTCTGTGTAGCCCTTGCACAAATTCACCTGGCAATCTGAGCAGTCAAACTGTGGAATCCATTTTTTGTCAAACTCAAACACATACAATGGTGGTTTTGATAGTCCACATCGAAATCAGAATTAAAATCAAAAGTAGCTCTATCACAGAGCAAAATTGCTCTCCTCAGATCCAGAGATAGAGTGCATTTTGAGTGTATCTGCACTTGATTTACACAATGCCTGGTGCACAACCAGGTAAAGTTGCAACCTCAAATGCATCTCAATAGATGGCTCTACACGGTGGCTGCGAGTCCTGGTAGAGTAGTTACGCATGGCCCATGTACAGCCCTTACAGCCAGTGGCGTATTCAAGTTTTGTGCTGCCCTAGGCAACACAGAAATCGGACACCCCCCCCCCCTCCCCGGCAGAGAGAGCCTGACACCAACCAACACCAACCCCCCCTCATCCCATGGAGAGAGCCTGACATTGACACATTGACCAACACCAGACCCCCCCCCCCCCGAGAGAGAGCCTGACAGTGACCAGCTACACCCCTGCCCCATCCCCACCCCCACCCGAGAGAGCCCTGGGAATGACAGTCGGGCTCTGCATACACCATCAAGCAGCCCCTCTTAGATCCCACCTGGTCCCCATGCTGCATATGTTCCTTCTTCTGGGGTGCAGTGCTGCCCCCCTAAAAAATGCCGCCCTAGGCAAATGCCTTGTTTGCCTTGTGGAAAATACGCCCCTGCTTAGAGCCCATTCTGACTGGTGTGGTGCATTGCCCAGCTTTACTTGCATTGCACATCTTTACTTGGCACATTAACCTGCTTTTTTGCAGGGGCTTCCAACACAACACATGTTTTAAACAGACATGTAGAATTTTTTACATGGCATTGTGTTTGGTTAAAATGCATGTGTTGTACTGTACTGCCTACACGCATTGAGGTGCGATCCTAAATAAGTGGCACCACACCATACAGTGTAGCACACACTACCGCATTTAGCCTGGGTTCACACTGATGCGGTTTCTGTGCGAATTCCACACCTCATCACAATCGCACCTCGTTCATGCGAACCGCTGAAGGTGTGTATGTTAAGTTAACAACACCCAGAAATCAGTCCGCAAAACGTGGTGCATTGTGCAGAATCGGATTGCTTGGGTGTGAATACCCATGCGATCTGATTCTAGTGCGGACCAAAAAAAGGGTTCTGCACCTTTTTGGTGCGAATGCGGTGAGATTTGAGCCATACAAAATGTATGGGTCAAATTGCGCTGCACAGAATTCGCATGTGATTTGCACAGGAATGCGGTGCGGTTCCTGTGTGAATCACATGCGGTATGCCACACCACCCAAGTGTGAACCCAAGCTTACTATAATAGTGTGAATGGACCCTTCATTTCCTAATGAGCGCATAACTGGAACAATAGCTCTCTGGATTTCAGGTTTAAGCAATCATCCACCTTTCACAGACTTTCCCTGATTCCAGGTGTTCCTCTTTACAGAAAGGGTCTTTGTTTTCCCGAAAACTGAGTTGGGGTGATGTTATCTGACCAGTTTGGTGGGTTTTTCTTTTTTTTTACTTCTTTTCTGTATCTTATTACAAATGTAGTCACATCTTTCCCAACATTGTGCAAACCAAGTAAAGTTACTTCTCATTAGTCATCATTAAATCTCCTACCAGAGTTGTTATCAATAAACCAAAAGGTTGACTAAGCTGAATGAAATTCCATACATACACAGAAAATGCCCAGGAGGGTTGTGTCTCTTTAAATTATCTACGCAGACAGACTAGAAGGAAATTGCTTTGCTTGTCTTCAGGCTTTAGCCCACAGTCATTCTGAGTACACAGCCTGAGAAAGCTTGCCAATATTATACAAATTCTCATGGCAAAGCAGAGTTCCATCCAATAGTTCATGTTGTGATACGTTGTGTTTTTTTCATTTTTACATTTTTATGGACACTGCAATGACTATATTACTATATTAGCAACTAAGAATCTCCATCACAGACTGATCACAAACATGTAACAAATGATAGTCAGGCTGATTTACTAAAGAATCATCATTTTTTTAATTACCCGATGATGTAAAAAGAAAATTCCTGCTTATATATTTCGTCTACAGATGACTGGATAATTAAAGTGAATATTCACACATTTTATTGTGTAGAGCAGCCCATAGATTGTAAGCTCCAAGGAGCAGGGCCCTCCTAACCCTCTTGTATTGAACTGTATTGTTGCTGTATTGTCCCTCTTTATATTGTAAATCGCTGAGCAAACTGTTGGCGCTATATAAATCCTGTATAATAATAATAATCCCCTCCTGCAGCACTATTGCGTTCCCTGCTATTGCCTTCTCTGCCAGCAGAACACAATGATCACTGTTGGTGGCTCTAGTCATTGGCAGTGATTGCATGAAAATAATCCCAACAGGCTGGTTTTACAGAAGTCAATTAATGGATCAACTTCAGTACAAGCAGCCTGCCCCCAGATGGATCGAATCTCAGCTGGTCCCTGCTGAACCAGCTGAGCTTCGATCCATCTGTGGCCGGCTTAAATTAGGCCTTGCGTATGTACACTTAAGAACAAATATGTTCTATATTTCAGTGTTACCTATAACGCTGCCTCCTCCTCTTCACTCCCTCTTTCTGTAGGGGTCCCTCAAGGTTCTGTCCTTGGACCCCTTCTCTTCTCCATCTACACCTCCTCCCTTGGTCACTTGATAAACTCCCATGGCTTTAAGTACCATCTCTATGCTGATGACACACAAATCTATCTTTCTACCTCACCTCACCCCTTCAGTCTCCTCTCGCATCACTAACCTACTAAGTGACATATCGGAATGGATGTCACTCCACTTCCTCAAACTCAATCTTTCCAAAACTGAGCTCTTAGTATCCCCCCCCCCCCCCGAGTGCCCCCCCCGTCCCCTGACTTCTCCATCAAGATCAATAACACAATCATCATTGCCTCCCCTCATGCCAGGGTACTAGGTGTAATCCTAGACTCCCATCTGTCCTTTCACCCCCAAATCCAATCACTGTCCAAATCTTGTAGACTTCACCTCCGCAACATCTCCAAGATACGGCCATTCCTAACCTCGGAAACAACTAAGCAACTTATTCACTCCCTTGTTATATCTTGCCTTGACTATTGTAACTCCCTCCTCATTGGCCTACCGAATCACAGGCTATCCCCTCTTCAGTCTATCATGAATGCTGCTGCCAGACTCATCTACCTTACTAACCGTTCTGTATCTGCCACCCCTCTCTGCCAATCCCTCCACTGGCTTCCCATTGCCCAACAGATAAAATTCAAAACATTAAAAATAACGTATAAAGCCATTTATAACTCTGCCCCAAATAACATCAATGATCTTGTCTCCAAATATCACCCAAACCCTACTCTCCGCTCCTCGCAAGACCTCCTGCTCTCTAGCTCCCTTGTCTCCTCCTCCCATGCTCGTCTCCAGGACTTTTCCAAAGCTTCCCCCATCCTCTGGAACTCTCTACCCCAATTTATCAGACTATCGCCTACTCTGCTCACTTTTAGGTGATCTCTGAAAAGCTATCTTTTCAGGGAAGCCTATCCTGCCCTCAACTAATAATGGAATCTTCTACTCTTCCAACCAATCCATCCCCCACAGTTACTACCTTTTGTACCACTGGCCCCTCCCTCCTAGATTGTAAGCTCCAAGGAGCAGGGCCCTCCTTTCCCTCTTGCATTGAACTGTATTGTTGCTGTATTGTCTCCCGTTATATTGTAAAGCGCTGAGCAAACTGTTGGCGCTATATAAATCCTGTGTAATAATAATAATAATAATATATTGAGGTGGACTAGTCCTTAGATCTGGTGGCCAAAGGGAATAGATAAAGGGTTCGAACCCCTCCCTCAGAGGGTCCATGGTACAGCAGCTATCACTGACTCTAGCTAGCACCCAAAGAATTCACTCCGCATCTCTTGAAGGGTGCCTCAGGTCCCAAGGCTGCCACTGCCTGACATTTCTTTTTTTTTTTTAGTTTTGGCAGTGCTGCAGTGACTATTCTACTTTTCCTGTCAGTGTCAGACCTCAGATGTACTTCAGAGCAATTGAGGCTCTCCTTAGGGGGTTTGTCTGGGGGGGGGTGAGGGGGTTTCATTAGGGGGAGACCTGTAATGAGGGAGATCTGCAATGGGAAAGCTCTGTACCAAGGTAAGATCTGTAATAGGGGGAGATCTGTTATGGGCGTGATCTGTACCAAGGGAGGATCTGTACAAG